AGGCAAACTTTTTTTTAAGGAAAAAAAATTCAGATTTTAGCTGACAGGCTATAAAATGTAGCTGAGGGTGAGGTTAAAACAAGTTAACCTTTACCTCATAAGATGTTTTTGCTTTTGTGGTAAAAAATGTGAAGTTGAAAAGTAGAAAATCGATTTCGGTACTAACGTTTCCCTAATCGTTTTGCAACTGCATTGACGTAGGATCATTTTGTCTAGATGCATTTCTTTCCGAAGCTATAACGCAATTGTCGTTGAATGCCGGTTTTTGAATTTTTTAAGACATTTGATACTTTGAAAGTTACAAAATTGGTAGAAAGCGTTTTTCGTGCAAATCTCTAAAAAGCATTATCTATCACATTTTATTGCACGTAATTCCTTGCCTCCGAGACGCCGTTGCAGAAAAGCGATTAAAATTTATAGCATAAAAGTAGGTCATTGAAGAGTGAAGAAAAAAGTGAGAAATTTTTCGCCAAATGCCTATATCCGTGATCATTGGGAGCTGTGAGGTCACTTTTTTTGTTTTTATTGATTTTTATCACTTACAATTTAGTTCTTCTGTTCTAGCTTCATTAGGGTATTTCAGTGATTTAGTCCTGTTTTTGAAATTATCCAGCTGCCCGTTTAGATGGTTACCAGTGCATTTTGTTAGCTTTTAACGAGGTCCATGACAAATTCAAAAATCTCTGAATGTACAGCAGACAGTGATGTGTGCTTTTTTTTATATTGTTTTTACTAATAAATGTTTGATCTTGAAAGGACGCCTTGTATGCGTCGTTACATCAGAATATGCAACATTTTCTGCTCCTCATCGCGCAATATTCTGTTTTAGGCAGCGAGGGATTTTAAAGGTGCCCTGGTTCACAAGTAGTGGCATAGGGTTCGTACCGCATATTTCTCGTCTAACTCATATGGATAAACGACATGAAGAACTGCTGCTGATTTCTTACTGTTCATTAACTTTTTGTTGTTCGTTAACAGTTGATTCAGAGTGATTATGTGATCCACTGCGCTGTAGTTACTCCGGAATCCAGCTTGCTCTCTTGGCTGCTGTTCGTCGAGTAGTCGTGCTAGTCGGTTATGGCTTTCAAAATAGACTATCTTGAAATATCACCAACCGCAAAACTTGGTAAACGTGCATGAGAAAAGTGTGGGGCACATGTCAGCAAAAGAAGAGAGCGAATGGGAACATCACAACATTTCAACCAATTTCTTACGTATTACATTATTGTAATTGATTACCTTCACTTGGTATTTTACAGACCGTCTCCTCAATAATAAATTACTCATTGCTATGCGTTTTTGCATATGTGCAAGTGTAAAAATGCATATTGTGACGACCCATGGTGTGCGTCTACTTGTGTATGCGTGCGCATCTGTCCAGGTATTTCAACTCGGCAACCAAGCAAACTTCGGCGCCAAAATTTTGCCAGTGGGCTCTTCGGCTAAGTGCCGTCCGAGGGTTGCTGTATGAAGTACTGGAAAATTTAGAATGGTACTAATTTGCTATTGGTACTAACCTTCATGCGCGCTTGGGCTCCGCGTATGAGCACGTGAAAGTTTTGTTGGGAAAATCATTGACTCGGGGACCACAAAGCTGGGAGGCCGAAATTTTGAGGGGGTTTTCCGAATCCTTGTACAACTTGAAGATTTCAAATTCAGTCATCAGGCATGTGTGGCTTTCACGCGTGGCTCGTAGAAGCTTTTGGCGGGAAAATTGTTAACTCGGGGGTCAGAAAAGCTGGGAGGCTGAAATTTTAACGGAATGTTTCCTGTCGAAGTATCACATAGTTGTACAATTAACTTCAGATTCTGGCTGCTGTGTTTTTTTTTTTGCATGCGAATATATTTTCGTGAGTCATCGTCATCATTATTCTCCCTCATTCCCTTCTCTGCCACGTAAAATATTTTAATAAATTTTCGTATAAGCACTGCGCTTGCCAGTAATACCAAGATACTGAAACCGTTCAGACAGTCGATGTGGTAATCCGATGTTTAGTGTTGTTTCTAGACTGCGTGAAATTTTAACGATAACCGTGAATTTTGCATGAAGGCGTTGTCGGTAAGACAAATTCTCAAATTTGCTCTATTCATGCGTGAAACTTGGGCACCTATGAAAGCTGATTTTACGGTTTCAGCAGCGCACAAGATGCGCAAGAATTTATATAAAATTTCTGCTTTCTTCAACATCTGACCACCAAAAGAGAAGGATGAAAAAGCATCACAGTCTGAACATTTGACGCGTCCGTGAGTGACAACACATACAGGAGATAGTTTTACGCTTAAAGGTTTTCACACGGACAGTAAATATTCCCACTAAATTTCATGCACAAT